AGTTGATCAGAAAATATACACAAAATTGTTCTATTTTTATTTCCTTTTATTAAACACTTTTAAAAACCATTTTTAATGGAGTTTTGTTTTTTCTATTTTAATTTTTATATTTTATTTTAAGCTTATTTACACGTTTAATGGCACTTTAAGATCCAAACCACCCTCCTTAGGGTCCATTACTCTTGACAGAAAAAGTTGTTTTTCACTTTTTAATATCTTTTCACATGTTTAATGGGTGCTTTGAGAGCAAATCCGCCCTTTTTAGGGTCCATTTTCGCGACTACCACCACGTGGGTCGCAGTTCGCAGGACTGGACCATGGAATATGGGTACACGGAGGACGCCGGGAGGGACGCCTACCCCCGCCGGGCCCTTCTCTCCGGCGCTACCAATGGTCTAGTGTTCAATATTTTGACTTCGAAGGCGGACCTCGACTATGCTTGCAAAAACTCCCTTCAAGGATATCGCGTCCTTTTGCACACTCCTATGCGAATCCCGCGTCCCAGTCAGGACTACTTCCGGGTCCCCCTGGACCAAAGTGTCATGGCGGCCATCCAACCGGAAATGATCACCACGTCCGAAGCTGTCAAAATATACAGTCCGGAGCGACGCGAGTGTTATTTTCCGGCGGAGAGAAATTTAAAATATTTCCGGATTTACACCTCTTTGAATTGTCTAATGGAGTGTTTGACGAATTACACTCTCAGTGTCTGCGGTTGTGTCAATTTTTTTATGCCTAGTATTGTTAATTTTTTGTTTAATTTTTTTTAATGGAGTTTTTTTAGGGGAAAATGGGACGAGAATTTGCGGGGCTCGCAAAATAAGTTGCATGCGTTACGCTGAATGTAATTTAATTAATTTTTTTTTTTTGATTAATTCAAGGTTTTAGCTGCGCTACAGATGAAACATTTGAGTAAACTGCTCGACAAGCCCGAACACGTCCGAAAAAAAATCGAGAAACATAAAGTCGATTGCAATTGTTTGCCGATCTGCGCTGACTTGACTTACGAGGTTGAGATGTCGCAAACGAACTGGGAGTGGGTAAAACAGAAAACTGCAGATAGACACAAACATAAAAACTGTAGCGCTGAGAGGTGAAATATCCAAAAATAACATTAGAAAAAATAAATAATGTTTGGTCTTGAAGCTCACATATGTCATCGTTGACTGTTTTTTTCAAGTCGAATAGCTTTCTGAGATGTCAGAGGAACGAGTTGTACGGACCTACGGACTTTTTGGCCAATTTTGGCGGGCTTTTAGGGCTTTTTATGGGGTTTTCGATCTTGTCGCTCATGGAAGTCATCTATTTTTTGACGGTTAGGATTATATGCAATCAGCGGCTGTACGGCAAGTGGGCAGGGCCAGAAACTTGAAAAAATAAATTATTTTTGCCACAAAAAAAATAAAAATCTGTGTTTGTTTTTATTTTATTTATCATAATTAAATAAAAAACATAAAAATTATAAAAAAACTTAATTATTTATCCTAAATGTTGGTAATTCAAAATTAAAGACTTAATGATAATAGTATATTACAAGCAACAAGGAATATATCAAATATACAAGGTTTCCCAGCGAGTTGAAAAAGTTCATTAGTGATCTTTAAATAGTAAAATTAAAAAAAAAATTATATAGGACATTGATAGATACTAATTTAGTCCATCGCCTAAAATAATTTTCAAGTATACAGAGTGTTTCAAAAATAAAAATAACACCATATGTTTCTTAGCGTTTTTGGATGTATATTTTTATAATAATATTTTAACTTTTATTGGTCAATTTTGCTTAGTTTTAAATATAAGACGGTTTTTTTGACAAAAACATACATTTTAAAAAAATTTATTACACAAAAACTAAGACATCTAGAAATATTTTTTTTATTACCGCAAAGAAAAAGGTACAAGCTATAAGGTTGTAACATTTTTTTAGTGTGTGACTTTTGCAAAGATAAAAAAATTAAGGCGTTTGTTAAAAGTTCAATAACTTAAAAAATTTAAATGGAACACCCTATTTATTGTATTTGCATTTAAAAGATTATTAAATTGACTTTCTGAAATTATTCGTTTTTAGGTGTTTCTAATCAATAACTAAAAAGATATTTAACGTTAAACAATAAAAAAAATTACTATTTTTTCAGTTGCCAAAAATTACTGTTATCAAGTATTTGTTCCTATTTTGTTTATCTGAAATGAACGCTCAGAAGCAAGAGTAACGTCAAATTTTCGGGCGAATTGTGAAATATATAGCTTGATTCTGGTAACTACTGGGTTTTTATGTAATATTATATTATAACTGTCAAATTAATAATCTATTTATTGTATTCGTAAAAAATAAATATTTTTGCAGTTACTTTTTTTTGTGCTGTAGGAAAAATAGTGTACAAAATTCGTCGGAAAGTGTCTAACGCACTCATTGCGTTGTTTGCCACTTTCCGAGTTAGTTATGTAATATACTATTTTATGTCGGTTTAGTAATGTTGTTTTACTGGTGGCGTATATTACAACTCTATAACTTACAATACACCAAATTTAGTAGAATCGAAATTTGGTACATAGTTAAACAACTTAACTGCTCTACGAGGGATCAAATTTAACAATTTGCAAAAAAACATTTTTTGTGAATTAATAAAAAAAATTGATTTTTTTTCTAATTTCACGAAAGATGTTGAAAATATTTGCTTTCTAACAATAAAAAAGACGTTAAGACAAAATATTGCAGAAATATTAGAAGAAATATGGACAAAATATACAAGGTGTTTTCTCAATATTGCAAAAAATGCAACCACGTATTTTACATCGAGAAATAACACAAATTTGTCAAATAAATTATAGTCCTACGTTACAGATATACAGGGTGATACAATTTTATGATAAAATTTAAAACCCATTAGATTCTCCGAAATCTCTTGAGTTATTTTTTTGAAAAATTTACAGGCTTTGTGAGCCAATGGGGTGCGTATTATTTTTTTTATTTTTTAATCGTGTAGAATACTTGGTTTTAATTTTTCGCAATAAATCGCTTTTTCTCTCTCACGATAAATCGTTGTAAATCAACGTATTTCAGTAAAAATCGTCGTTTTTACAAATATTTGGCTAGTTTTTAAGCCGGTTCACATTCACACAAAATTTTTAAAACTTAACCTAAAGTCAAGGTCAAATCCGCAATTTTAAAGTTTAAAAAAAAAACAAGTCTAGATCAATAAATTCGCGGTTGACGAACTGGAATTTAATTATTCCGACCCCTAATTACCCTCCCTTATCTGATAAAAATTCCCACTTCGTCTGAATTTCCACAAATTAAATTATTACACTATTGCAACACTAGAAAAATGGGCGTTAGTACCGTCAGCCCGGAAAAATGCTCTCAGAAAAATGAAAAAAAGCCGAAATTCCGGAAAAACATCGGAGATTATTTCACAGAATATACAGAAAATACCGGAATACATGGAGTGAAATATCTGGGAGAGCAAAACAGGACAATCGCTGAAAAGTAAGTATCCACCGCACCTGCAAACCCACTTAGTAATTTATCAAAAATCAGGATTTTTTGGCTCATTTCACTCTCAATTGCGCTCTACTTTTGCATCTCTTTAATAATCCGCACTTATCACAAATGGGAAACGTCACCAGTGATTGTGAGTTTTGCAACGAAGGAAACGCCAATTTGGCAAATCCCGTTTCCGGCAGTCACTATTTGCCCGGAAACGAAATCTCGCCCGGAACTTTTCAACTACACGGAGTTTTTGTTCCGGAAAATCGACAAAAAGCACATCAACCCGGAAAAGTGAGTTTTTCGAACTTTATGACATGAAAAATGTTTATTTTAGGGAGAAAAAATTGTCGTACATTTCATTTCTTTGCACCTATCGTCGCGATTTGGTCTTTGATGTTCCCGAGTTTGTCGATTCGGCCAAATTGTTTGATTTTTTCGAAAGTGTATCTCCACGATTTTTGGAAAATATCTCCGATTGTTACTACATGGGGGATCCTTACAATTGTTCGGAGATTTTTACTCCTGTGATCACCGATGAGGGGCTTTGCTACTCTTTTAATTTGCTGAATCGTGACGACATCTTATCAGATAACGTGTAAGTACCACGGGCGGATGCACCCATAGAATTAAAAAAAATAAAAAAGTGAACTCTTGTTAATTTAAAAAAAAAACTATAATAATTTGCAACTCAACTTTCAATGATATTTGGAATCTCGTATTTTTGCCTTTTTTAGTAACATTGCTTTCTATAAAATCACTTTTAATTTCAAATTTTCTATTATTTTTTGACAAAATGGATCAATTTCATCGCTTTTATTATTCTCTTTTGTTTTTCTTTTCTTTATTTTTTATTTTATTAAGCTTTCCGGTGAAAAAAGATATGTTATTATCTCAGAAACTTAGAACAGAACCATAAAACATTCTACATAAACTTTTTATATACTACTTCAAAAAATTAAGGAAACAAAAAAAATTCCTAAATTTTTTGGTGATTTTTGAGACGATGAATCTCAATGAAAAATGGCCGAAGCTAGATATTTTGAAGCTTTAAGTTTTTAGTTTTGAAATCTTTTGAAATATACTGCGAGAAAAAAATCTAATTTTATTATTTTTGGTTCACGGACTTGGGGAATTTTTTTTAAATTTTTTTTCGCTGAGATTTTTGACTTTTAATGAAATAGTATCTTTTTGTTTTTGATGATCGACATCCCAATAACCAATAACGACCGCACAGAGAATGTAAGGCTAGTTTCAATAACTGGAATATCTTACAATATTTTTTTTAATTTTTTGAAATTTTTTTTTACAATCAACATTGATTTAAAAAAAAATTACTTTTTTCGATGTTTTAGTAAATCTACCGCGTATTCACAAATATTGATGAAGAAACCAATGTTTTCAGGTTTATTTTAGTCTCAATATCTCTAAATTTTTAAATCAATTTATCAAACTTGTTTCTCGGACCGATTAATCAAAGTTTTACAAAAGAATAAAAAGAACAAGTATATAATGCAATTTTCATCAAAATGAAAAAAAGAACATTGTTTTTAACTTTTTTTTAGTTTTATTTTAGTTATTTGTTAAAGTTGAAAAAAAAATTGAATAAAGTTTTTTTAAACTTTTTTTTTGTTTTATTTTTTAATCTGTAAAAAAAATTAAGAAACAATACTGACTAATTTTTGAGACTTTTCAGCATACCCTAACTTTACTCATCTCAAATTAATTAAAAATGGATAACCGCAAACTGTATTCAGCACTATTTTTTTTTTACTTATTTTTATTACAATATACAAACTCGTACTTTAACCACTTTTATATTTTTTACTGTTATTTATTGTTTTTTTATACTATATTCAGCAAAAATAGCGAAAAAAAATCGTTTTTTCACGTAATTGTTGTTTTCAAATTCTACAAGTGATCCCAACACATACAGGGTGAATATAGAGTATGGAAAAAAGCGTTTTTTTGTTAAATTATTTGTCTCTAGAAAATAATAATTAATATAAATGAAAGTATTATAAAAAATTCATAATATTTTGAGAGCGGAATTTGATTTTGTTTTTGAGTTATGCGATTTTTTGGCAAAATTGCAATTTATGTAAAAAAATTAACAAAAAAATTAATAAAAAAAATAGTT